CTGGCTCATAGCTGACCTTCTGATGGGTTTTCACAAGCAGTTGATCGAACTGGAGGAGACTGCCCATCCTTCTCCCACGGAGCAACTGGGGAATTCAAACTGTGTCATTGGCATTGCAGCACAGCTTCTTGTCACTAGGCCACCAGAGTTCCCTTTATAGAATACACGTAGATAAAAAAAAAAAAAATATATATATATATATGTGTGTGCGTGTGTGTATACGTATATGTATGTGTGTGTGTGTGTGTGTACACCCCCCTCCATTATCATCAAGTCACAATAGAATTATACCTCATCCTCAAGTGGGTTTTAGAGGCTATAAGTAGCATGTGAGATTGCCCACTTGCTATTTTTTTTTTAAATTTTTTAAAAATTTTATTATTTTCGTGTGAGTGTACCATCAAATCAGATCTGACTGGTACAGGAGGAGATTGTCCCTCCTTCCCCAGCAGAGCATCTGGTGGATTCGAACGATGCGCCTCTGGGATTGTAGTTGCAGCTGCTTGCCACTAGGCCACCAGAGCTCCCTTTCCCACTTGCTATTTTGATGCCAGTGCAAACAATCCCACTGTTGTCGTAGGCACCATCAAGAAATTGCATACCCATTGTATTGATCATTCATGGGTAAGGAGTTGCACTGCCAGCCCAAAGACCGACAATTCAAATATTCCAGCTGCTCCATGGGAGAAACAGAGTCAATCTCCTGCTACAGAATTTACAGCCTCTGAAAATCCCCTGAAATGATGCTCTGAGTTAATTCCAACTTGACAGAAATGAGTTATTATTGAATTGACAATTACAGTAACAAATCTGAATTTCTTTCTAAATTTTCTTTTATTTATTTGTTATAGAATTTTTTATTTTATAAAGGTTTACTTACAAAGTTTGTATATATTTTCACACCAGATCTTTCCTTTTCCCTATACCCACCTGCCCTCACCATTCTCACCCATCTGCTCCCCCCACCCCTTACCTGCCTTGGATCTTTGTTCATGTTCGACAAAAATGGTCTTACACACAGCCTTTTTAACAAATGGTGTTGGCAAAATTGGAAAAATATCTGCAAAAGACTCAAGCAAGACCCACACCTCACTCCATACACAAAAACCAACTCAAGGTGGATCATGGACCTAGGACTAAAACCAAGGACTATAAAATTCATTACAGAAAAGCTAGGAACAACACTAGAAGTCCTAATCCACAACATAAACAGTCTTCCCAGTATCCTGGAAAAGCTACAACCAGGAGAAGATAACATAGATGAATGGGACCTTCTAAGACTCAAATCCCTATGCACATCCAAAAACTTCTCCAGTAGGGTAAAAAGGGAAGCCACTGACTGGGAAAAAGTATTTGGTAATAACATATCAGATAAGGGACTTATATCCAGAATTTATGAAATACTTGAGCACCACAACAAGATAAAGGTAAATAATCCAATAGAAAAATGGGCACAGGATATGAACAGGCACTTCACCGAAGACGACATTCAGATGGCTAACAAGCACATGAAGAAATGCTCAAAATCCCTAGCCCTAAGAGAGATGCAAATTAAAACAACTATGAGATATCATTTCACCCCAGTCAAAATAGCAAAATTTAACAGAACAGCAAGCAACAAATGCTGGCGAGGTTGTGGAGAAACTGGAACCCTGATTCACTGTTGGTGGGAGTGTAAAATGGTGCAACCCCTGTGGAAAGCAGTATGGCGCTTTCTCAAAAAGTTGCAAATAGAGATACCATTTGACCCAGCAGTTCCACTACTGGGAATATACCCTGAAGAGACCATAGCTGACATCCAAGCAGATATATGCACACCCATGTTTATTGCAGTTTTGTTCACAATAGCAAGGAGTTGGAAACAACCTAAGTGCCCATCAACAAACGAATGGCTAGAGAAGCTGTGGTATATTCGCACAATGGAATACTATGCCGCATTAAAAAACAAGGAACTCATGCAATATTATTCAAAATGGTTGACTCTGGAGAACATTATGCTGAGTGAAATATCCCAGTCACAAAAGGACAAACATTACATGATGCCACTGTTGTAGAATGGGACTGTCCTTGGGGTTGGGGAGAGACTGAGTAAGATGGGTTCAATAATGTATAGTGCACTGAAACAGAGGAGGGAGAGAACCGTTTAAAAGAGAGATATAACTGGGTATTTCTGTCATCACAGGAGACTAGAGCGAGGGCTACATGGTGGAGGGGACCTGGGGGAGGGTTTGTAAAACAATGAAAGAATCTTTTCTTTTACTTTTCCATAATTTTTGGACTCATGTACTTATAACTTGTTAGTCAAATTTGTGTCTTCTAGGTTGCAACACCCCCATGATACATCTTCAAGGATATGAACATGTACGGCCAAGCACAATCAATAAGAGTGCATCTAAATTCCAAAATCAATCTCCATAATAGTCTATGTGTTTCCTACTGCCAAAGGGGCCCTTTAGAGTAGTGAGAGAAGATCTTCACCCTGAAACCCACAGCGTCCCTTTTCAGCAGGAAGTAGCTAAGAGAATACGCCATCCCCTTTTCCTTATGACTCAGGGTGAAGTCTCTCTCAGGGAGGAGTGATAGGGAATGGCAAAGGACACACTGACAAAGAAGATTAATCAGAACTGGCTTTGACAAGCACTGTGGCATTTGGACAAGAACAAACTGGGAGGAGGGTAGAGAGAATAGTGCAACAATGAATGAGTGGAAGCCCAAAATCTCTGTAAATGTTTATGAAAATTAATAAAATATAATTATAGAAAAAAAAATGGTCTTACACAGTATTTATCCTTATGGGACTGAGTGAGTTCACATGGTACATTCACACAATGCAATACTATGCAGCACACAGGAGCAATGATTTTGTAAATTACTACCTAACTTGGGAGGGACTGCTAAAATTTATTTCAGAAAGTAAAATCTTCAGATTCTACAACATATAGTCTTCAATTTGCCCAGCTTTGCCCATCAAAAGCCATGAAAATACATATACTACACGCTAAAAGCATGCCCTAAACACTGATCTTTTAGTAAAGTTTTATTTAGTGCTTCTTGGGTTTGAAGATATTGCTGTCTCTAAAACAACATATTACACCAGAAGCCAAAATAAACACCAACCCCATTGTTTTCCAGTTGGTTCTGACACCTGGTGACCTTCCATTGTATTCCTGAGGCTGTAAATTGTCCTCTCCCTAGAGGAAACTGCCTGCCTTTGTCTCCTGGAGCAGCTGGTGGATTCAAACCACAGACCTTTCAGTTAGCAGTTTGATATTTTATGCACAATTTCACCATGGTGCCTTTATATCTTCACCAAAAGATGAAACCTCCATCTAACTAGCAGACTGAATAGGAATGTAGTATTATTGGATATAAAGAGTCAAAGTGACGGTTAAATACCATGCTCCTTTAAAAATCCAATAGGCACTAATGTTTGGAAATAAACGGAGAATGAAGTTCCTACTACTAATACTTCAAAGACTTTGAAACATCTGGAATCTAGTTTTATGCAGGGTATTCTGCTAAGAAGTAAGAATAAAAGGATTTTAATAGGGCAAATAAGATTCAGGTTTCTTATAATATGTTCTCCCTGCGGGGAAACAAATAACACAATGCATCTGACTAACATTTCTGCACTTCAGCTGCATTAATTAACATTTAGTCATGGATTCCATCCAGAGTCAGATGAACTCAGTGCTACAGCTGTTTTCATTGAGGGAGGAAATCCCATCTTAGATTCCCAGCATTGCTAAACCTGGGAAAATATTTTATTGACTGCTTCTATGCCAGAATTATTGATACACATTACACATTGCTACCCAAATAAATTCACATCCACCCTAGATTATGATTAAAGTCTGTGTAATGTCAACTCTATGTAATATCAATATCACATAAACTAAGTCAGCCAAAGCCAATGCTATAAACACCACATTCCTAACTGCCTTTTTTAAAAAACAGCAAGAGATGAGTAAAAGCTGAAGAATTGATCAATGAAGCCAACTCTAGTCTTGGAAGAATTGTTACTGTCTTCATCATAGAAATCTAAGACAAGTGGATATCAGATACACAGAGGGGGGAATTGGGGAAGAAATTTAACTGCACAATCTGATGACTTAGCAGAAGCACTATTGAGTCCATAAGCCAAGCATATGGCAGCAGTTTTGGGGATGCAAAGCTAATGTTATGAACTGTAATATAGACAGTCCCCACTTAAGAATGCTCACAACTTCTGCTTCCTCTTGGTTACTGTATAATCACTCCATCATCATTTTTATAGACATGAACTAACATTTGCTTGCAAGAAATCCATGACAATCATCTTCACTTGCTGCCTGGATAGCTGTAAAATCACTGAAAAGGCTTCAAGCCTTTTCTTACACTCAAGTAGGGTTCAATAAGAACTATATGCACCTGTTGTAACTCAACAGTAATTCTACTTTGAATTAAATATACCATTAGGAACAAATCTTATGTGTAAATCAAGCATTGCCTTATTTGGCCAGTCATGAAAAGAGTTTTGTTTTCTTCTCTATTGTTTTTATAGCAAAGCTTTCTGTGAAACACAAAGTTTTATTAGAAGGTATGGCAGCTGGGCAAAACAATCGACCTGTAGCAATTTGTCAAATTTCATTTCACGAAAGCACTGCAATATCAAATTTGTCTCCAATATTCCCTTACAAGCTCTGTGGCAAGAAATATAAAATCTGTCTCCAATATTCCCTTACAGGCATCTGTTATGACTCTTGGTCAAATCTAAAATCTTTCAGACAAAGGAAACAAATAGTCACATAGCTGCAAGCACGATTGTATGCCCACATGTATACATTCGTACAAAGATAGATGACATTATCTTGGAAATATTAACAAAGTTTGTTACTTGCCTCCTCAAGTAATACTCCTAAACACCACTGAAAAAAGGGAAAAATCCTTTTTGGCTAATCTTCTCCTTTACTTTGTTAATAAAACAGCAATAATATAATCAAGCAAGTAAAACATCCTACCTGGGATGACTTCAAAAAGGAATTTTCCTGGACTCTCTTCATTGCAGGGATGCTCAAGGACTTTGTTTCCAGGCAGAAAAATAGTACCCTGTGAATACAAATGTCTCAAACATCAGCATCATCGGAAATCGCAATCATCACCATAATTATCATTATCACTTTATCACTATAACCTGGTATACAACAACACCAATAAAACCAAAACCAAACTCACTGTTGTTGAACTAATTCTGTCTTCTGGTTTCTGAGTCTGTGAACCTTCACAAAAGGCTCAGTAGTAAGAAGTTGCACCACCAATGCAAAGGCAGGCAGTTCGAATCAGCCAGCTGTTCTATGAAAGAAAGATTGCTAATATCGTCCCACTCTATTTAAACTCTCTGACAATCCTGAAAGGTCAGCTTTGAGTCAGTTCTGACTAGATGATATATAACAACAACAAACCTTTACAGAATGGGATTGTCTCTCTTTCTCGTTAGAGTCGCTGGTAGATTCAAACTGTTCATTGTTGTTGTCTAACAGTCCAACACATAACACACTGTCAAGTTTCCTTTAAATACCATGCCCTGGAATCACAGTCCATTAACATTCAACAAATATTTGTTGAGCATCTAAAACGTCGAAAATACTGTTTCAGATGTTAGATTAATTTGTTAAATGCCTCCTGTGTTACAAGTTTTCACTAAGAATTGTATAAAAAGCATTTTATATTATTCTTACATAAACATTAATGAAGTCAGCATTCATTTTCTGATATTTCAGGTCAGAACTAAGAACATTAATTAATTTACTCAAAGTTGCAGTGTGTTTTCTCTTAATTATCTCATTTTCCTCTTCCAGAAACCTCTCTCTCTAATGGGTGGATCATAACTTATCAGTAATAAGCCCTATTTATGGAGTCCCAGCACATTCAGCATCATCAACCCACAGATGACTGGCCCAAATCCAGTCGTTGAAATTTCTATGGATCCCAGTTCTACTATGACCCACAGGGTGTTTCCAAGACTCAGAATCAACTAGTTAGAAATGTTGGGTTTTTTGGTTTATTAGTCTAAGGCCTATTTATAAATCTATGCAATTTAAAAATTTTACTTTTACATTATCTCCTGCTACAGCTATCACCCTAGCAAAGAGGTTTTCTTCACGGAATCTGTTTCTTCACATATAAGTACTTATTGCAATCTGTTGTGTAAACTTGGAATTTCACTTAAACACTCCACAAATTGCAAGCTTGATGACTTTCACCCTTAAACTAATTGACTCCCAGCAGCACTCAACATTATTGAACATTCTATCTTCAAGAATCTTCTCTTTTTTGTTATACGCTTACGTCATTGTTGGTTTTGTGCTGGCAAGTTGGAACTGACTCAGAGCTGAACTTCCAGAGGGCTTTCAGAGGAGAGGCAGTAAATCACACGGCAGGAGAGTGTCCATTCTTATCCTGCAGAGCAGCTGGTGGATTTGAACAGCACATCTTTGGGATTGCAACTCACCTTCTTACCACTAGGCCACCAGAGTTTCCACATGCTGATGAATTGACTCTAACTCATAGAGACCCCCTGTACAACAGATTGAAACTTTGCCTGAACTTGATACACTATGCTTGAACTCAATGTTGCAATATGTGAGCCAATGCATCTTTCTCTCCTTCACAGACCTACTTTTCCAAGTATAACATGCTTTTTTTTAAGGACTGGATCTTCCTGATAATATGACCAAATGACGTGAGATAGAGTCTTACCGTCCTTGTCTTAAGGAGAATCTTAGTGGCACATATTCCATGAAAGAACTTCCTTTGTTTAAGCTATCTCCTTCAACTTCTAAAACCAACTATAAGACAGAGAATATTGGATTTCTTAAGACTTCTGAGTTTCAGATCTTTATATTCAATAATTTGACATTTCTAGAGCTTTTAAAAGATACTGCTTGTTTATACAAGATATTAGCCAGTCTCTCTCTCTCTCTCGTGCTCACAGGCTGGGCTGCAATTCCAAAAGCACTTGGTTTGAATCCACTGATTGCTCTGAGGGAAATGGATGGGCAGTTTTCTCCTGTGAGATTCACTGTCTCTGAGAACTCACTGGAGACTCAGCTATGAGTTCAAGATACACAACCACACACTTTTTTTAATTTTTTTTTTTTTTTTAGGATTTACAAGTAGCTTTTCTAAGTATGTGGTATGTATGGGGGTGGTATGTATGGGGGTACTTCCTCTTGTACAGTAGAAGTTTTTTATTTTTTTATGAGATCCAATTAATCTTATATTTTTTCTGTTATAGATTTTTTTAAACCTTTTTATTGTCTAGCAAATGACCCATCTGGAAGCAAGAGTTGCATCAAATTCCTAAACAACATGCCTCTAAAAACTCTATGAACTTTGAGAAATGACGATAGTTGTAGAAAGGCTTCAGGTCTTTTGCTCACAGGGTCACTATGAGTCATGCTCAACTAGATGGTAATCAACAACAACAAAAAACCCACAACAGTTAGTATCTGAAAGGAGTTTTGAATTCTGTGTGGTTAAATTAAAAGTAACTGAATCTGGTGCTTTTTTATATTCTTTAGCTCAATGAAATTAACTTGTATTAATTCTGTATGATTCATCCAATTGGTCTTTTAAAAATGGCACCATACTTCCATTAATCAAGTTTTATATTCTTTTTCTGGTTGTATTCTACTCAATTTTCACAAAAACTACATTTAAAATATAGTCAGATAGCTTGCACTTTTACTGGAAATATTTCCCGTACTTTATAATTATTCAATTTGTAACATTATTTTAGTAATGCCTATCTCCCTCATTTAGTCATAAGGTAACAAGGATAAAATAAGTTTTCATTCCTAACTCATCATGAATGTCTTCCATGTAGCTTGGCATGCAGCAAATGTACGGTTGAGTTTATGAGTATTGTTAACCTAGAAAATTCTAGAAATAAAACCAAGGACATGGGAATATATATATATATATATATATATATATATATGAATGATACTCTTACCTACTCTATATTCCATTTTCCCAGTTGGAAGCACTACTTAACTCAAATAGTATTTTGCTGATCTTTCATACAACCTGCTTGACACAAGAAATTATAGTCATATAGAAATTATAATTATAGAAGTCATCCCTACTTCTGAATTCATAGTAATAAAATAAATCTCTTCTGGAGAAACCCTAAAGAATTATAGATTATAAGTATCTCTCACCCTCTATGCCTTACAAGTTGAGCTTTTTGAGGTACACTTGTGCTTTATTATAAATGGAAGTTTTGCTTTACTATCAACCATACATTTATTCAGTCATATATTTACTATATGCCAGACAACAGTGCAGGTATTCATGATAAATTATGGATAAAAACTCAGATTACCCTTGTTACCTTATGACTGAATGAGGGAGATAGACATTACTCAATGGACTGCAAAAAGAACAAACACACATAGCTTGGAGAAAGTAGAGCCAGAATGCTGCTTGGTGGTAGAGATGATGATCAAGTTTTATCTCACTTACTTTGGGCATGTTGTTAGGAGAGGCTTGAGTGTTACAGTGATTGTGAGGATGGGAAGGAATAGAACAGGATGGCTATGAGTTACACGCAACTTGACAGCACTTCACAGCAACAAATCAAAACCATTCCTTAGAGAAGGGCTCATTCTTGAAGAAGAAGATGATCAGTGAAAGAGAGCAAGACACTCAACCAGATGAATTGATGCAGTGACTGCTGAAATGGGCTCGATTATCTCAGAAATGATGAGGCTTCTCCAGGATAAGACGAGGTTCAGATCAGTTGTTCATAAGGTCGCTATGAGCCATACTCACCTTGGCAACACCTAATTACAACAACATTTGCTTACCATTGCTGAATAATTTAAGAGCCATTTCAAGATCAATTTTGAAGAATTGAACAACAGTGGTTGAAGACTACTGTGGGAAGACTTCAAGGATATCATCCAGAAAGAGAGCAGAAAGTCATTACAAAGAGAGAGAAGAAAGAAAGATTAAAAAACCCAAAGTGGATAAATGAATTTCAGAAGAGAGTATGAAAATTACATGAGATTATCAAGAATCTAAAACTAAAGAAAGAGATGCTAAAGTAAAAGAGCTCAGGCAGAGATTTCAAACAGTAACTCAAGACAATAAAATATGATGATGAAATGTACAAAGAGCTGGAGTCAAAGAATCAAAAGAGAAGAACTCACTGGGAATTTCTCAAACTGAAGGATATAGGAACCAAACTCAAGTCTTGAGTTTTAATACTGGAAGATGTTATGGGTAAAATCTTGAATGATCCAGGGAGCATAAAAAAAAAAAGATGGATGAAATATACAGAACCACTGCACCAAAAAGAACTAGTCAACACTAACAAATTTCAGAAAGTACAACAGGAACAAGAAGCGATGGGAATGAAGAATTAATTTCAAGCGGAACTCAAGGCATTGTTAAAAAAAATAAGGCACCAGGAATCAAGGAGATACCAATTTATGTGTTTCAACTACCAGGTACAACCTTGGACATGTGCACCAGTTTATGCTAGGAAATTTGAAGGACAGCTGCCTGGCTAACTGACTAGAAGAGATCCATATTCATTCCCATTTCCAAGAAAGGTGACCCCAAGATAGGGGAAATTATAGAACAATATAATTAATATCACATGCAAGCAAAATATTGCAGAAGATCATCCAAGAATTATCATCCACACATACATTGATAGAGAACTACCAGAAGTTCAAGCAGGGTTTATTAGAGGCCGTGACACCAGGGATATCATTACTGGTGCCAGGTATATCCTGGCTGAAAACAGAGGACAACAGAATGACTAGTTATACCTTCTTGACTTTGCAAAGGCATTTGACTGTACGAATCATAATAAAATATGACGAGAACTGAGAAGAATGAGAATCTCAGAACACTTAATTATGCTCATGTTAAATCTATGCCTAGTGCAAATCATGAAGGGTGTGTGTCAGGGATGCATCCTTCTCCATACCTATGTACTAAGTATGCTGAGCAAATAATTCATGAAGGTGGACAATATGAAGAATGTGGAATAAGGATTGCAGAAAGACTCATCAACAACTTCTGCAACCTAT